TGAGATTTTGAAGAAGAGAATTTAAAGAGAGGGAGAATTAGAATGAAAGATTACGACTGTTGGGAGAAATGTTGGAGGTGCTAAAATGGAAAGAACAAACAGTCACCAATGTAACAGTTTTGATGACATGACACAGACAAGACACATGAATTAGCAGTTTAAGGTTTCGTTTGTAATAAAGTTAAATTCCTGTCTTAAGTATGCATTGTCCTCCTCCATTCCCATTCTATGCTCCTTCATGCATTGCCTCATTAATTCATTTCCTTTTCTTTCCTTCTGCAATCACACCTTAATTTCTTTTCTACTTTTTCCTTTTACGCTTTAATATTTACTCCTACTCCATACTTTTTTTTTTCTGACATGGAGACTGATTCAAAAACACCATATCATCTATATACACAATAAAAATTTATTATTCATAACGAAATCAACGTTTTATTTTTAATACAATTAATATGCGAGATTGAGATTCAARCTCATTATTTTTTTTAACTAGAGATAGGTGTTTTAACGCTAAAAAATGGACTAAGCTCCAAATGGCAACAAAATCGATGATAGCACATGACGGGTAATTGACATGTGTGTTGCATCGTCATAAATAACTCGATCGTATTGGTTTGTTTGGTAAACTTGTATTAATGGTCAAATAATAATATGTCGGATTGTCAGAGATTTTATTTATTTATTTATTTTTAGATAAGATACCACTTTATTGATGTATGTTATAAGGTGCATATACAAATTGTCTCGGGGATAATTACAAACCATAACCTTCGTAGCTTATTTATCTTCTCCAATTGTATCTTGTATTTTAAAAAGGGTTTTAAATCTCCTTTTATTTGAAAATTTTCAAAAGTCATCGATGTGTACCAATTCAGTTAAAGTTAGCTGCCAAGGATATTTGAAATTACCTTTAAAATATATAGTTATTATTTATAAAATATATTTAAAAATCACATATAAGTATAATTATTTATGGTTAACCATGCCAACACGAACATATAGTTCAGCAGTTAAGACGTCTTACTATTTACCCTGAGATTGGAAGTTTGGAGGTTATTCCATGTGTGTATTTATTTTTTTTATACAATAATATGTGGAGGTAAGATTTCGGATCSAAAATATTTTTGTTAGAATATATGGGCTTGGTATGTTCATGTTGTTCATGTGTGTATTGAAATTAACCAAAGGGAAAGTTGTAAATACATTAGTATTTTAGAATTTATTTTAGAGATTAAATTAAATATCTGCACCAGCGCTAGGCATATCGTGAAAATATATAACATAATACGAASTTGCAAAAGAATTATATTGATATGATTTACATACGTACATGTAAATATATTATAATAATTCAAGCAAAAAAATAAGGATACAATACGAGAGTTGTTATTGTCATAGAAAGAAAATTTTATTCATTTTCCAAAATATATATAGAAAATAATTAACCTACCATATATAAGTGTACATACATACGCATGCATGTGACATGCGTATGAATTTATAATTCCAATATTTATACATTTTTTTTTCAAATTAATATTATATTCAAATGTAGGGTGCAGTCCTAATTGAAGAAATTGAAATATTTATAGAACGTCCAGAAAATCTAGCACGGTCTACAATGTCATGCTAGAAATAATAATGAAAATTAAAATTTCCAGAACAACCAAAAATCTAGAATATGCTTTTAATCAATTAATTTCCAAATGGGTTCAATAATACTTTTCAGTGACATTGAATTTGTCAAGGATTTCTTTTTCCTTGAAGAAAATATACTGATTCAATATGCATTTACAATTGCATTTGGAGACAGATTGACTTAACATCTAAGGCCAAGAAAAAAATTCTAAATACTACGAAAATATCATACTTCCTTTATTCTTTATAAATTATTTTTCTTATTGATAGACCCATATTAATTTTATGCAATAAATTTAGTAGTACCATCCTCCATTATTATACGTGGTTTAAGTTATTATTATGTTTTTTTTAGTATAGAATTATTTTTAATACAATATATGAAATAGGAATTCGAATTTATGATATTTTAGTGGAAGATAGATACCTTACYTAGTTGAACTATATACGCTTAAATCAATTTAGAATTTAGTGACGATTTAATATTTTCTCCTCCTTGAGATGTTCTTTCCATGTAGTTTCCAAAGTAAACCTGTCTATTAATTTATTYACTTTGGTACTTAAAATTCAGTCAATTCCTCTGGTTTTAAATACACCAAGTAGTTGAATAATTATTGCAGGTAGAGAAAAGATCTTCTAGATCTACAAATTAGGATTGGTTTGGTATAAGTTTCAAACTAAACTTGGCAAATTTATAATAAAAAATCAACTCATGAATTTAATTTATTTGAACCAAAATCTAACTTAAACAAACTTATAATCTAATCCAATCTATATATGAATTAGAACTTGTAMAGTAAAGTTAGATATATGTGYAAAGTAAATMATTTTATAATATTATATTAATAATAATRTAATATTTTCATATGAAATATAATAATTTAATCAAATCAACTTAATAAATTAAAACTTTCAATTAAATTTTCAGAAAAATCAAAAAATATTTGTAAATATTTTTATTGAAATATATATTTTTAAATCTAAACGAAAATAATCAATATATTTATAACTAAAAAAATTTAAACCATTAACCCACTTTCCCTTRTATTTTTCATTTATTTTCTTTTGACCCTCGTGCTCATACTTCCTTATTTAAAAAAAATAACATAACAAATGTCATATTAAAACACAATAACGTATGCAAAGAATTGCAAAACAATACATCTACTATATATATGAAGATAGTTTAAAAAAATAAAAGAGAAATTTTTATCAAACTCTCCTTGCAAATCCATCTAAAAAGAGGGTAAATTTGGAACTTCTTAYGTTTTAATTTCAAATCCTTCTAAATCCGACCTATTTGAAACTGAACTTGCAACCTCTTGATTGGAGATATATATCAATTACGGCTGAGCTATGCTCAGTTTGACAATCAAAATAGTATTTAAAACCCCTCCGATCATCTGTCAAATTTCAGATTAAACACGTCTCTACGGTAAGAGCTACATCTTTGTCCCTACTCTTTTTTGCACCAACAACTAGTCTCCATGTCGTATAAAATTTGACAGAATGAGGTCCCAACGAGAATTTATGGAAGTGTAAAGACAAAACACTATATTTGAAGAGATAAAGAAGAAAACAGAATCAATGTAAAAGTAGCATAAATCCTATATTTTTCTTTTCAAGGCCAAGAGAACATGCATTTGCAAACACCCACATGAAACTCAAGTTTGGAATTGAGCTGTATTTTCTCCCTTTTCTCCCAAAAAACACATTCGGATCGGACCCCATCCCTTCTTTTGTTCTCTTATTATTCTCTCTTTTCCTTCACACCACCAAACCAAGCAAAAATTTAAAATCACAAGTGTGCTGTGTGAAATTAAACATCAAAATGCCTTAAATAAATTCAAAGCCTCACCATTGCTGTGTCAAATTACTTGCTTTGCCTCTCCCACCATCATCAAAATGGAAGCATATTTCAATTACATAGAAGCATCTGATTCTAAAGCAAGCAGCTTTTCAAAGTCTTCCTCTATCCCTAGCCATGGCGACCAAGTTTCGCAGAAGAAAAAACAGAGGACTGCTGARCAGGACAGCGCCCACCAAATGTTCAGAGGAGTGAGGAAGAGAAATTGGGGAAAATGGGTCTCTGAGATACGGGAGCCGAGGAAGAAGACGAGAATTTGGCTTGGAACTTACCCAACGGCGGAAATGGCAGCGCGGGCTCACGACGCCGCGGCGCTCGCCGTTAAGGGTCGCTCTGCATTTCTCAATTTCCCTGAACTTGCCCAATTCCTTCCTCGCCCGCTCTCCAAGTCCCACAAGGACATTCAGGCCGCCGCGGCCGAGGCGGCGGCCGCCACATTTTCAGCCGGAAACGACCGTGAAGCCGACGGAGGCGGAGCGGCGGAGCGCAGCCAACCCCTGTTTTCCGGTAGCCCCGGCGGAGACAGAACAGAGGACTCCACGGACTCCCCCTCGACCGCCGCCGTTGATGACGCATTTTTCGATCTGCCGGATCTCTTCGTCGGAAGTTCGTATTTGAAAGATGGGTTTCTTTATCATTCTTCGTTATGGCAGTTCTGTGGGGCGGCCGATCACACTGGTTATCGGCTCGAGGAGCTTTCATTCTGGGAACGAATTTAATTTTAAACTATTTAACTTCATTCTCTTTTTCCTTCTTTCYAGTCCTCCATCAAAATTATGTTTCCAAAGGTGGTGATTTTTGTTCTAATAAAGAAATGTTCTACATATTAGAAAAAAATTCACCAACTATTGCATTGAATCTCAAAATAATCGTAATTTCAATGATTTGTATTGTTATAAAATAACAGATCTAAAGTAGTGCAAATCGACACTGTTTTTTCCTTCAAAATTATAAAACGAGTACTTTTTTTTTTTATCGTAGTTTTAATATAGGCTTGGATTCATGAGTGTGGAAGTTTGGGACATGAATTATATAATTTATATTTGGAGTATCCAAAAGGATCAATTATAGAAACTTCCATTCCTATAAATTTAGGACGAGAAATGCTTTCTTTTAAGTCTAGATTTATACTATATGGAGAATTCATCAATCTAGACAAACTCAATGTAAGTTGAGTTTATAATTTCAAATCACAAATCTCATTCATGAATCAAATATTATAAATGTATAGTATTTTTAGTACAACAAATATGAGAGTAGTGTTAGAACCTTTASCTTGAAGAAAGGAAACTCTCAGACATAGAATTATGGACTAATATTCACACATTTTCATGATGGATTGGAGTGGACTGAATATGGTGACTCGCATTTTCTTGATGTTCATTGGTTTTGTATGAGTTGACTTGATTCTCGTGAATTTAAAAAKTGTTTATGTGTTCAATGAAATCTCCTTACTTGAGAGGTCATCTTGGCCTTGTTCTCCTTCGAGTAGGTTGGATTAAAGTATTGTCATGGCCTTTTAACATGGAACAATGGTCCAGTTTCTCGGAGTTGCATTGAAACGTTTTCCAACTGTTAATAGAGAGAAGTTCAAAGCAATTCATTCTTTTTTCTTTTTTTTGAATGCCCAGACAAACAACTCATTCCCCTTGCAGTTTCTTAAGAGGATAGCATAAGTTGATGACGTCTTGGTAGCTGGCAGATATAAAACTGAGAGAGAGAGAGTGGTTGGATTAACATTTTCCAACAACTAGCAAACAGAGGGAAACGTCATTTTTTAAACAAGAGATCAACTTCTCCTGTTCATATATGGGACTTGTTTCAATCACAAGGTTTAGTGGTAAGTGATCTCATTCATCTCGTCTCACCATCATTATCTCTTCTTTAAAATATTCCAATCTGCCATCATTTTCTGATCTAATAAGAATTAGAATATGACAAAAGTAACGACAAGAAGAAAAGTAGATTTGGAGTTGTACAATTATTGAAGACCTTGCAAATGGAGCTACTTCAAGAGCTTGTTGACATCAATATTGTCTTTTTATTGAAATCTGCTCCACAACCAAAAACCATGGTTACCATTTATCACACAATTGGCCCTATGTTTGGTCTGCATCAGATTGACACAAATGCAACCTTGGAATCATTTTTTCAAAGAAGGGAAATGAATAAAGGAAAGTAAAAAGTTGGAGAGAAAAAGAAAAACATAAAAAATGGGAAGGAAGACTATTCAGTTGCATGGAAAGGAAAGTAAAGAAATCATACCCCTTGCAGTAAGTTTCCTCCAAATTTGTTGCTTTATGGATCCAACAGAGGTGCAAAACTGCTTTAGGAGAAATCATGTGGCGCTTGTATGCTTTTGATGTGTGCTGTCTCCATTTTGTTCCTTCTCTTTCCCCTCTTGTATGGGTCTGTCCTTGAAGGGACAAGCTTTTTTGTAAGTTGAATTACAGCAATACTTATAAAAATGAGAATCTTTCTGTACCTGCTTATCAAGCTTATTAATCATAGGAACCTCACACAAAAGTCTCACAATGAAGAAATTCTCACTGGGTTGAGCTCTCGAGCCCTATAACCCACACGTCTAGAACGAGACAACATAGTGCCTCCTGARTGTGACCATATTTCAACCTCCGTACAATAGGACATTTCTCCTAGACCATCTCTAATCATTGCATTGCAGCCAAAAGATTCCACATCAATAAGATTAAAATATCTTGCTCGTACATGCCTACTGAGTTATCCATATATTAAGCTTCAACAATTATGTTACCAAACATTGATTAACAAAGTAGAAACGAATCATACAACAAAACCTGTGATAGATTTTAGAGGATAAGAAAAAAACAGCAAATGTACAAAGTTCATGTACATTGTACAAGGAGTATGTTACTGGGCGGTTCCTCGTGCTAACCTAAAACAAATGGCCTACCCAAAATATTGAAAAGCTTTATCCATCATGTGCATCAAAAATCTTAAAATTTATACTTTTATGACTAAGCAGCAGTTGTCAATCGTTTGAACAAAGAAAATGTAAAAACTCTCACATCAGTAAATCACTAATATCCTGGACAACTGGAATTTGCAGATTGGTTGAAATGCCAATGAAGAAAGCTCTATTTTTCAATGTCGAAAACTGCTTTGGTAATAATGCTCATCCTTGGCCCGTAAAGATGGAAAACACGGTAAGCTCCGTCTTCATTTCTTGCCAGTGGAGCAACCAACCGCTACTGGACCAAGGACCAAAATAAAAATAATAAAAAAATTATAAAAGAGAAAGTAAAAGTAAGACCAAATAAACAAACAAATCTTATACTAACAGAGCATCTTCAAACAATTTCTGCACCTTATGTGCGTTGATAGATTCACTAAACATCGAAGCATGGACCCTCAAGTACACTCAAGTACATCAGAAGGGAGAGGCGAGAGGAATAAATGTATAAGATAAATCAAATAGAAATATCAGCTTCTAGGACCTAACCAAGTCGAGTACAAAAATTTCTGATGGCAGGAGTGATGACGATCCACAAGTTGTTTTGAGCGGGCAGTTCTGAAACTTCTGATTAAGCGGGCGACCCTCAACTCTTGCTTCAACGTCTGTCCATCCATGCCAGTATAGCAGCGAAGCAGTTCTGAAACTTCTGATAAATCTGCAAATAATGAATTGAAAGCTTCCAGTTGCTCCAAGCACATCATAAGATAAGGTAAAATAAATATGCATCGCTAATGAACTTTCAATTAAATCACAAACTAGAACCAAGCCAACAAGCTAATGATTTGCTTAAATTTCTATGCAGCAGGAATTCCATATTCCTTGTTCTCGTCTCACGCACAGTTTCCTCTACATTCTAACATAGTCATACACGTAAACCTGTTTGTATCCCCATGTCAACTCTTGCATCAACCAAATGGACTTGAAATGTGCACCAAAGGCGGCTGAGTTGAGTCTTATCAAGAAGTACGTATGCCCAGATTAAAGTCAAAAGAAAACTTGTTTGACATCATTGGGCCCGAAACTTGCACTACATCTTGGGCATTTGCGTTGCTGACTCTTCAAGATATCTTGTACACAGGAATTACAGAACAAGTGGAAGCACTTCGTAATGACAACCTGAAGAGCCGGAACAAAATAATTTTTAACATGAAATAAAGCCACAAATGAAAGTGAAGTTACATGATACAGACTGAAACAGATATCTTGAAAAACATGAAAGTACAAGACTCAAAGTTGAGGCCTCGACACCTGATACAACATACTTGTTGAATCAAACACAGCAACTTTGGTCCCTGAAATAAGTGATTTTATCATCTACCATTTACAGAACATTCATCTCTCAGTCACTCGCTAACTAATATTTCCCAGTTCTTAATATATCCWAGGAAGCAAGCACATAGAATACAAGGATGTTACCAAAATTTCCATTCCATCTTAAACATCCCAAAAACAAGCTACTGATCAAAGAACATCGTTTTCAGAAAGTTTTCCAGCCACCAATATATGCTGCTATAGATATATTATGAACATTTCCTGATTTCTACCGTTTTCAAATGAGTACAACCAAATATCTAAATAAAACATGGTACAGCATTCCAATGGTGTTAAAGAAAACCCCCAAGAGGCTAATTAAAATTCAAGAACGACCCTGAATGAAGTCACTTATTTAAAGGCTAATTAAAATTTTGGCTTTTAATGTATTTCCTAGTTATATATTAAATGTTTTTTTTTAAATCAAATGAGTCTCCCTTGAGAAACCTTGTACCTTGAGTTGAGACTAGGCTCCAAGAAGCATTTTTATCTTGCACCTTAAATAACTATGAAAATGTTCCGATAACATAACGTGAACACATCATATAAACCAAAACTTAAAAAAAAAAACGATTAAACATTTTTATTTGAGTGTGCACATAACATAACCAGAACACATCATAGTGAAAAAACTTAAAAAATAAGAAAAGCTAAACGTTTTAATTTGAGTGCTCCAAAAAGTGTCGAAGTGTCAGTAACCACAGACGTGCAAACCAAAATTATACTTCATAAATTATATTTTAATGATTTAACTCCTCTGCTGCTACTATATTACATAGGATGGAGGAAGGAAAAAAATCAGTAAATTTTTCTAACCAAAAACTTTGTTGTCTCAACTACCGAACCCAAAATTTCATATGAAAATAACAAAAGAGAGGGAGGACGCGCACCCTTTATTTTGTAATTATTCTCTCTCCGCTCTTTGTAATAGTTAGCAGGTGGTTGTGTAATGCTTGTTGGTTGGGAGTTCCTTTTACTTCCCCCTTTTGTAATTTCAATTATCAATGAAATTCCAGTTTCTTTGTATTCGGAATCCCAGGGAAGGGAAAAAAAGTTGAGATGCGCTCTAACCTCCCATAGTAGTTCAATTAACTTTCAGACTTCAACTTTTTTAGTGTGAAGGTTTCATCTATACCTATTTCTAAATGAATATAACTTTTTTCATTTCTAAGCTGAATATCCATAATAATCTATATATGCTAAGAAAAAAAATAAAAGCTTACCTGCTTTCTACTGTTGTCACAAATTTTGCAATTCACTATCTTTTCATATTCCCTAAGTTCCTCATGAAGTTTTTCAACTACTGATGAGCTTTCCATCTGTGCTTCAAGCCTAGAAACCTTTCTGCCAACAACTTCTAGTTCCTCTTCAATTCTTTTCTTCTCAAACCTAATAAAGCACTAACAATCAATTACACATTCTGCAAAAAAAAAAATAAATAAATAAATAAAAGAAAAGAAACAGAAAGCATCCACACCTTTCTTTTTCGAGTTCTATCTGCAGCTCTGCTTGAGCTGTTCGACTTTTCTCAACCTTAGATTGCACTTCATCAAGTAACTCACTTGTTTGCTGAGATGCTATTCTAATATCCAGTAATCTTTTTTGAGTGCTTTCCAGAGCAACTGTCTCTTGTAACTTGTCGTCTTCAATTTTCTGATTATGATCCGAGCAACCTCTCAACTGTAATAATAATCATAGTGATAAATAAGCAAATATAACATAATCATTCAGAAAGTAAATTTCAACTCTCCATCCCCACAGTTTATGTTTCAACATGATGCTCATATTACCTGGTCTTCAATTCTAGCAGCTTTCATCTCGTAAAGTACAAGAGATGCATTGGCATGCTGAATCTCCTTCTCCAAGGTCTGCTTCTCAATGAGCATAATCTCCTGCAACTGCCTTGCTCTCACACCTTCTAAAACAAGCTGCAAAAACATTGATATGGAAAGCATATAAACGTCAAATCAAATATTTCCAGCATACTCTTTATTCTCACTTTTTTCTATTACTTTATCATTAAATACTCCAACTATATTTCTAAATGTTTTTTTTTGCTTTTGATATCCAGTGTGTCCGGGCCAGCTTGTGCGCACCTCGACTAATCAAAAGCCARCTGCCTAACCCTACTACATTTGATTGACAAGATAACTCGTAGGATATTAAATCCTAGGTAGGTAGCCACCATGGTTCGAACTCATTCCCTCTAAGTCCTTTGCTATTTACATGGGTCATTATTGACCACTAGGCCATATCATGATGGGTTTTTTTTTATATCCGTGAGTGTTTGGGCCAGCTTACGTGCACCTCGACTGATCTCACGAGACAACCGCCTGGTCCTACCACATTTGGTGTCGGGAAACACATAGGAATTACTAATTCCTAAGATAGGTGGCTATCATGGGATTTGAAYTCATTCCCTCTTAATTAATCCTAGTCCCTTTGGAACAATGAGTCACTCATGATGGCTATGATGGTTTTTCTAAATGTATTATAATAAATGGTCCAGAATTCAGAAGATGATAGCTGCCTACACTTCAATTCTCACACAGCCCACCCACCSAGATTAGGTCAAAAGTTTGAACTCCTTTTCTGAATTCAGTCTAAACTGTTTAATTTTGAAGATGACGTGAGGAAAAAGAATGAAATGGAAGTGAAGATTACCCCCACTCACTTTAATATGCAGAAAGCAAATAAAATTTATCTTAATCAATCTTCTATCTTTAAAAGAAGTAATCACCTTAATGTTGTAGTCATCTCTCTCAGTTATTTGCTGTAACAGATGCTGATTTTGAGTTTGCATATCGTCATATGCCTGCCCAATTGTCTGTCAAAGACTAACAATTAGACTACCTCAAAAAGTTCAGAAGACAAAATAGTCATAGTTCAGAATACGGAAAGTCACCTCAATTTCAGACAAGTAGGCCACATTTTCGTCGCCTTTAGATTTTAATTCATCTGATAATCTAGATAAATCCCTGAAAAGAAAAAAGAAGAACGCATGGTTTGAACCCCATATGGTTATAATACTTGAAGAAAAAATAACTTCAAAGCTATGAAGTTTCCTGGAATGATATTGACCAAATAGCAAGATCCACAGAATCATCATAGAACATAAATGTGCGCACAACTCAGGAAGACAAAGTGGACCTAAAAATATGGTTTCAGACGGCAAAAGCGGAACTATATRGTTCATACATATAAATTTGAAATTAGCATGTGCTTTTTGAGGAAATAAAGCAGTCAGATAAAAATCCAACCTTTTAGAAACTTCCAACTTCTGTCTTAGCCGTGCAATCTCAGCTTCTGCAGCAGCTAACCTTTGTTGAGATATAGCCTCAGCTTCATTTGCAGTCTTAACACGTGATTCCAGGTTGCGTTCATCAAGAGAGGCCTTTAAAGATTGAACATGAGCCCACGCCTTGTATTCCAAATCCCTAGCTTCCAAGACTTCCCTGCAGATGTAAATTTCTAAGCACGCAACTAATATTGGTACAAGTCAAGACACTTCATAAAAGAAATTAATTAATGCATGGAATCCACAAGGTTGACTCAGCTCAAAGGAGATCTAGCTAGAATAATTAATAATAATAGCTTTTAGCATTGAGTGCTCCTTCCAAATTTTCCATGTGCACAAGATATCAGCAGCCACATTCCTCCAATGGTTTTAGGTTGTTCTTAGATGGTGTGTCCGTGTCTAATGTACACCAAACACTCCACTTATCAAATAGTTATATTAGCCTTTTACAACTATTTTTATACACAAACGAAAGAGGGGGAGGGGAAGCTTAATTCTTGTGATCTTCTAGGGCCTGTACGACAGCTGTTTTGGAAGATAGATTTCTTCTGCAACCTATGCTTATAAAATACTTCAAATGAGCTATAATCGAAAAGCTTACGAAGATTAAATTTAYTGTGGATTTGAAATCACTAATAAGTACAAAATTTTAAAGGAATAAAACTTCTATAGTATCTGAAAAAAGTCATCTGTGAAAATAAACTAAAAGAAAACACTACATTTAGAAATCGTTAGTGAATAACTGAGTATAAAACTATTTTTCAAAAATAGCTCCATCTTGTCTTCCCGTCCTTTTTGTACCTTCACTAATACAAAGTAAGTTACTCGTTTGCTATTTTAGAAGGAAAAACTTCTTCATTTCCCTTTTTTTTAATATCTCAATCCTGGCCTCAGGAAATGCTCAGATCTTTTCTTGTCAAATATAAATCAATCCCTGGTTTCTTTTATGGAGCAAGTTGCTTCTAATTTTTTAGATTGATTGATTGGTATCACAACACATGAATTCTTTCGAGCTCTATCYCACATTGAAATAAAAATTAAATTGGAATTTGATAACGTTTTGCCTATATGAGGCTGATTTTTTAAATAAGAAATCATTCTCGATGAAAAATAACAAGCACCAAAGGGGCATATAAAAAGACAGCCCACAGAAGGAGCTCCAGAGCTAACTATACAAAAAGTAACTTCAATTCAAAATAATAAGACCTAGAGGATAAAAAACTGAATTTATCAGTATTTTTTACTTCTCTCTCCGGGCTTTAATATTCCTACATCACTAGTTTTGACTTTCGTGAGATTATATTTCTAGTTGTAATGTGCAACTATGTTAATTGTGATAATCAACTTAGTAAGATTCTAGTCCTTTCTATTAAAAGATTTTTCATCAGTTTAATTTACCACCGAAACAATGACTGGTTTTGGTAGTAATTCTTCACTCTAGACTACAATATAGAATATCGATTGAGAAGCAATTTTAAACAACTAACAAGTCATTTCATAACAATTACTTTCATAAACCAAATGGAGTAAATGTAGACCACCCTACCTTGATTCAGTTGATTCACGCCTATACATCTCAATTATGAGTTTCAACTCTCGATTAACATCTGTTAAATCTCGAGCCTGCATTAACATTTATAAACAGAAAAAGAAAAAAATGTTACAATTTAAAATACCAAACCTACGTAAATTACAAGCAGCGTGGACGATCATTGAAGATACTTATCAAACACATTAACAACTGGCAATAAGTTATTTCGGGACACCCGCAACAAAGAACTTTTTTGCTATTCTGTAGAATATTTGGTTGGGAGAAAAAAAAAACAGAAAATCCCTCTAGGTGTTGATAGTTCGACGAGGTTTGAAGCTAGCACATTTTAATACCTCTATTTGGGTTTCACTCAACAAAACCTTTTTTGTTATTTCCCTATTTTTTTCAATTACCAATAACTGGGGCTCACTTTGTAATTTTTTTTCTTTTTCGTYGTCCCCATTTCGGTAGCCTTTCTATTTTACTTCCATTCATTTTATTAAAGAAAAGGAGGATAAAAAACACAAACATGCTTTTTTAACTAAATTTTAGTTAATAGCTCTAAAACAGCCCTTCAACTTATACTAACTGTCAAGGCTTTAGTATATGATCTGTGGTATGAAAGAAACCTAAGGATTTTTGAAGAAAAGAAGCAGTCTCCGTTGGCTCACTTCGATCTTGCTAAGTTCAAGGCTTCCCACTGGAGTTTTTTATCTTCTTTATTTAATGCTTACTGCCCTAGCTTGATTAATTTAAATTGGGGTGCTTTTATTTCAAATTCATGTGTTAAGTTTTATGAGTTTTATGAGTTTTTAGTTTTCAGTTGTAATTTTATTTTATTTGCTTCTCACTCTCGAGAGTTTGTATCTTTGAACAATTTTTGTTCCTTTTCATTATTTCAATGAGAAGTTCGTATCTTGTTCAAAAAAAAACTTACACTAACTGTCGCACATATAATGACTTTATCTAGCACAAAGAGCCGCATTCCATTGAATACAAATATACCGCATGCATATTATGTGATAACAAACAAACTTAGTTCACCAAGAAAAAGATGGTCCAAGGATAACTGGAAACCTAAAAGTCACTAATTACTTGATCCAAATCATGTAGCTGATGACTATTCCACTTCTTTTAAAATACACGTTTTATGGAACCAAATCAACAAAATATACTGTAACCATGACGCTTCAAAGTCAGCACCTCATTGCAGAACTAGATACAGAGTTACCTTCCCTAACAAAAAGAAAAGCATATAGCTCAAATGGCAAACAAGACACATATGGGTATTTTAAATCCAAGCAAGACACATATAACCCACAATATAAATCCAAACGGTACCATATAAACCCTCTCAAGCGAACTAAACAAAAATCCTCGTGCCTTTTTTTAATAAAATGTCTATCTTTTCAAGAGCAAAGAAAGGAGAAGAAAAATCACATCAGAAAAGCTTATTATACCGTATCTTGCAACTTCTGTATCTCTGCAATTTGATCCTTGGATCTAGATGATAAGATTTCACACTCTTTCTCCTATCAGGCAAAGGAAATGATGTAARCGTTCAACCCTTTTCAAGTGTAACAGAATCAAACTCTACCTACCATTCTATCAATAACACTAGAAAGGGATTGCACGTCAGCCTGCACAGAATGAACATCTGAAGCAGCTTCTTTGTATTTATGTAACTGACTTTGCATAGAGCCCATTGCTTCCGGAAATGAAGAAACCAGTGCTCTAAATTCCGAGACAATTTTTTTCCTTCCTGAAGAAAAAGAAATCCATCATAATGGCAAAAACCACTAACAATATGCAGGCCGGCAACATCCATTCTATGATCCAAGAAAAGCATTAAACACCATCCAACCTGGTTCTTTCAATACTTCAGCCAGCTTGTTCTCAATAGACTTCTTTTCATCCTTATGTTTCTGAATCAGCATTCCCAGATCATTAATCCTAGTATCAGAGACAGTAGATGATCTTCTCAAGATATCCAGTATGTTGTTTTTAATATTCAATTCCTTCTCCCTCCATATAACATTATCCTTCTCAACCTGAAGTTGGCAAGAAAATGTGTTAGCATCAAAAAGCAAACCCACATGGCAAATAACAGATTCAGGCATTAATGCAACTACCGACCAGTTTACAACCTGTAGTTTCTCAAATAAAGCCTGCTGCTCATAAACGTCCGATTTTAATTTCTCAATTCGATCTCTCAACAAAAGATATGATTGTGAAGATGGAATGGACTTCACACTCTTCATTGTATTCTGTCAATAAGATAATAAAATTGTAAATCGAATCATATATGGCATACCCTTAATTGAGGACTCTACATAATAATTTCAGGCTATGTCAATATAAATAACTATAAGTAGGAAACAGGTGACTAAAACAGATCACATTTAAATAAGTTCCAACCCGGATATCAGATAATTGTTGCAGCATTTTTATCCGTCCTTCATGTAGACTGTTTAATTCTGCCAGTCGACCAGCTGCTTGGTCCTGTACAGAATTAAATCACATTATTAATAATGTCTTGCTGTATCTCAAACAAAGAAAAGGAGGGAGAAACCTAAAGTCTCACTATGAAATCAAATGTGTGTGTGGGGGTTGGGGGGAGGATAGACAAGTACCTTCAAATCTTTGAGAGAAGACTCCATATCTCGCAGATCTTTTTGTTTATCTCTTACCTTACCACTGCCAGATTGTTTACCTCCTAGATTCAAAACAGGAAATCCAGCCCTTTTTGCCGCATCATGTTCAGCTCTAAGCTTCGTTACCTTCGAATTGCTCTCTTCCAGTTCAGCCATTGCACTCTCCAATTCCACTTCATAACAACAAACAACGAATAAAATTAGAACGCACRGAATGGCCAGCAAATAATGTGTGTGTGTAAATATATCTCCTTCTTTGGATCCCAATCCCTGGATAATATGCATGACAATCCCTTTTTTCTTCCTTTTTATGATAGGAAACAAAGAATTTCATTCACTAAATGAAAGTACAAGAAAGAAAAAAACCCCTAACAAAATCATAAGTTTTTAAAAGAGACCCGAAATTGACAGTAATTGGAAATAAGGGATGGTTACAAAAATAATCAAACAAAGAACTCCAAGAGGATGCTATAACATAGTAAACTTCAATAGGACTTCCAACTCCCTTTCCTTTCATAAAATTATCCTACTCCTGTCGAACTTCCCACAATATAGCCACGCAGAATTAAGCCCCCGCTATATCATTAAACTTCAACTTTCCCACAGGCCACAACTGACGATAAGCAGAGCTTCAATTCCTCAAATAGTTATGATGATGCATAAGCACCAAAAGTGATCCTGCCAAATGGCTTAAAATGCTAGGGGCACCAAGGCACCAAAAAACAAAAAAAAGAGAGAGAGAGAGAGAGAGAGAGAGAGAGAGAGAGTAATATTTTTTTATAATAAAAGTTACCTTTTAAAACTTTTAGCTGAGCTTTAGTCTTTGCATCCAAGTCCCGATGATTCTGCAGTTCTTTAGCCAACATCTTTTGCTTTAACAAAAAATCCTTTACTCTCAACCTCATATTCCTTACTTCTTTAACCAAGTCACCAGATGTCCTATTCCTGAATGAATCTAAGAAAACAACCAATATGTATAGAAAACTAAGCAAGAAACCAAATGGGACAAAGAATGACAATAGATACAGATAATCACATAACCATCCACAGCCCACAGGGTCTTTTTATTCGTACCATCTTCTGGGAGCTCATTCAACAATGCAGCATGTAAACCATCCTTCAGATACCAGAGATTTTCAATTGAAGTTTCTATATTTCGCTCAATGGTTTTGGTCTTCTCACATGGTGATTCTGTTTCTTCTTCCATTTGCTTAGAGGAACCATATGTTGAGGAACTTTGAGTAGCACCTGTTTCTGCAAGCCGACTGAGGACAGCATCTTCAAAGCTAGACGAAGATCCATCTACAAAGCAATAATGAGATATTCAATGTTCATAACTAGCATAGCAATTGAACCAATGTAGGATAAAATGAGCAGATTCTTTCAGTTAAAAGAGACATGAAACCAAAAGAACATGCAGACCATCTTTAAAAGACAAACACTGGAATATATCGTCAAATACTTTGTGCAAAAAACTGAACAAAAACATAACCTCACACAACAAAAAACTTTTCTTTTCCTTTATCCTCTTTTTACAAGAAACACTTTCAATTAAAATGGAATAAGAAAATTAAACAAAAATAAACCCCTTACATCCAAAGTCAATCTACATAAGTTTAAGAACTCCAATATAAGTTAATTACAATGAAAGTAGAATTACAACGGGATTGTAATAAGAAGACGAATTGAAAAGCATACACCAAAAAGAGACATGAAACTTGTATAAATTTAGAACCTCCCCCAGCTTGTGCACTTCCCTTTGAAGAGCCTCTTGCTTCCTTCTTTTTATAGAGGGAACAAATATTTCATGGATGGTATAAAATATTGGGATATCCAAGAGGACCTATAAAAAATAGTTACAAAAAAACTTTCCAATTAACCTTAAGTAGAGACTCTTGTTTCATGTTTCTTTCTATCCCAAAAAAAAACACAAAACCATTTAAAATTTTACTTCAATCGAGCCATCAAACACCCAAGAGACCTGGAATGTSAAGTAAATAAAGAACCACAAATCAATGCTAAAGGAATGATGAAAGTTTTTTTTTATAAGAAACAATTTCATTGATGTATGAAATTACAAAAGAGGGTAGAAAACCTAATCCAAAGGAGTTACAAGAAACTTCTCCAATCGGATAAAAGTGTGACATAACTAAAAGAATGAAAGAGAGGTGACAACTAGTTCCAAAAAAAACTATCATAAGTGAATTCCTTCTCATTGAAATTTCTTTAATTCCTTTCAATCCAAGTAGTCCAAGAAAGGCTTGAATGATGCACCTTCAAAGAAGTTTCTTTGCCTTTCTAAAAGAGTGTCCAGCGAGCATAGTGGTAAGGAGGCTTCTTGGGTCCATTGGTAAAGTCAGCGAGCATAGGAACAACGGAAGAACAAAAACAAAGCATACAACAGCTGGGCTTTAATGCTTAGTTTGGGAATATAAACTGTAATCTGTATTTTGTATACGCTCCCCTTTAGCAAAKATTTCAGACAGAAAAACTGAACACTCTTAGAACTCCTTATCTTACACATAGAAGTCACTAGCTCCTTGTTAAACAATGGAGGTGAAGCAATCAATTGGACGAACAACATTCATTTAGAATAATGGAAGAATACAAAAAGACCACAAGAAAGAGAGAACCAAAATTGGGATTTGGGAAGTAAAAAGAACTTAAAGCAAATACCACAACTTTTGGTAATCAAAAGTGATGTTTTACGTGAATTATAATTTACAAGGTAGCTAACATACCTCAACTAATCTCACGAGACAACCGTCTCATTTGGTTACCAAAAAGACTAGTAGGATACTAAATCCAAAGTAGGCAACCACTATGGTTCGAACTCATTCTCTCTAGTCCCTTACCTTCTTTCTGCCTATGACCACTAAGTCAACCCATGATGGTTCAAAATTAAGGGATAATTACAAAACAAATTTTAGTTAAGATAAGAGCCTAAAGAGAAGCATTAAAATGCACCCAATCCCAAATATCATCCCATGATCTATTTAATCACTTAAGTGCTTGTCCATTCCTTTCAAGCCAAATAAAGTACAAAACGATGAAGATGAAAGCCTACAAAAGAACACAACCTTTCCCAAGAAAAGAAGGATCTTGAACAACTTCCCTCATCCCCACGCAAATGATAAGCCTCTAAATAATAAATAATCCAAAAAATCTACCACAAATGACTCCAAACTCTTCGAGAGGAAGAGCACTAGCCACGATCACAAAACAAGATCCAAATCATTCGTCAGGTTCCTACACAAACACACAAGTTAGACCTAGAATTCTAGAGAAGGAAGCTCCCCMCCAAAAAAAGAAAATAAAGAAAAAAGATCAATAGTGTCCATCCTTCCCAAGGCCATAGACAAGCAAAGAAATGAACCTTCTTCGGGATTTTGAGCTTCAACAAAGAGAAGGAAAAAGGGTGGTGCAGGGAGGAGATGGGAGGTAAAATCAACTGAAGATAGAATGACTTGAAAAGAAAATCCAAAACAACTCAGTAGATCATAACTGTTGGTATCTTCAACCTAGAGAAGGGAGACCGACTGAAGCAGGTCAAGAGGGGGCCGACTCCATGATCTCTTGATCCCATATCAGGAGGGTTCTACAAAACCAGAAGAGAATGGAAGTAGCTGCACCCCCAAGTAAATAACAAATGATATTGAGAGGTCTCCATGAAATAGAGTGTAAATGTGTAATAGCTCACTTATTGAGCGCTCTTGCATCGAAGATGAACGGGGTAATGGGCATCTTAAACAAGAGTCCCCCAAAACTCAAATTGTACTGCCATCAAAGATTCAAACGATAAAGAATATCAAGGAGAGGTAACTAAGGATAGAATGGGAGATCACCCTCAGGTTGTCTTTCACTTTTAGGTTCTCTGAATATATATGTTTCTTATCCAAAAGAAAAAGGATAGAATGGGAGATCGCCCTCCAAGGACTTCTAGAGGGGCTATGGAAACTAAACCAAAATCCTAGCCATKGGRATGAGTCCCATACTCACAACTACCTAATGTCACAAAGCTTCTGGTTATAGAGGGAACTACCACAACCACTTAAAAAAGAAAGGCTAAGTTATTAAGATAAATCCCATACCCAAATCACCTTTTATCACCTTTCTAAAAAGGTCTCGCCATTGTATTCCAATTTTGTCCTTCATTGAACTATTAAATCTTCAAATTCTTGTCTTGCCTTCTTCTTGTTGACAACCATACCGTGCCTGCTAAGTGAATATGTTCCAAGAGCTATTCCAACTCTGCATCCTACGTCTCCAATCAAAATCCTCAATGAGTTTGATTCGCAGGACTGCGGGAAAAGAGGTTTGAATGGGGATAACAAAGTCTCCAAAATATCTTGCACGTTCATTTTCCTGTGAGACCTTTTAAAAACCTTGGCGATCTTTGGTGAACGGGCTAATCACCCACCCGAATATGATTCCAAAAGGACATCCCTCCACCCTATCCACTTCAATTGTAGTGAAATTCTCGGAGGGGCTCTTAAGATGGCTGATATTCAACCATAGGCTCCAAGTGTTTCTTGATTTCCTTGCTTTAATAAACGGTAAACCAATCATTTTCTCTTTTCTTTCTAGTAAACGTTGGTCAGTTCACTAGTTTCTCTTGGGAACCTCTACATTCATTTTGTCAAGAGTCTAGACAACCTTAATCAGGACATACATGATCTCATGACAACCAAACTAATTTTATCCTCAAATTACAATATGCATTCTCAAACCTAAAGTTTCAATATTAAGTTGCAATGGTATTAATTAAAACAATGATCTATAAAAATTGTTGATTTCAAGTTCCAGAACCATTAGCCCATGAAATAATAATAATAAAATGAAACATTGTAAGCCTCTATTAATAAACAAGATATTAGAAAAGAAAAATATATCCAAAACAAGTTGTATATTGAAGCTCCAGTTGTTGCCATTGTGTTTCAGAACTTCAATATAAAAACCATGCAAAAAATTGGCGCATCTTGTCAAACCAGAGAGACAAGAGAGAACATAATCAGTCCAAATAAATCGATAATAATAGGGAAACCCTCACCTGCAGCAGCCATTGTATGTTCGCTATCCTGCTTGCTCCTCCACCTCCTCAAKCGGACAGAAGATGTTTCCAATCCACTAACAAGCTGTTGCAAAACGGATAAACTACATTTCAATCAGTGTGCGAAATACCATGGGGCATGTCAAAAAAATGGCCAATGACAGTTATAACACAGTACCTCTTCCCAACAGTTTTTAACCACGGCCACTGTCATATCATATGGCTCTTGTTTCTCCTTCAACTGAACATGTTTATTCTGTAGAGATTTGTACTCTACCTTCTGAGCCTCTAACTTCTGTATGAGCTTCTGATTTTGGAATTGTAGAACAGCAACATCAAGCTGCAATGGCAAGAGGGGAAATGTTCGGACCTAGTTTCTCCATTACATAAATAGCACGCACACAGATCATGCACCAGAAAGAAACCACCATATCCTTTGGTATTTTTATTAATTCACTCATTGGATGGCATGGATGCAGACATTATGTTAAAGTGGTCATTTCTTGATTTGTGGTCATTTCTTGATTCATAAATCATTAGCATGTCTTTTGCTACTGGATTTTTTCTCTACTAAAGGAAAATTGAGAATCCTAAATGCATCAGTTGAAGAATGAAACATCAATAAATTCCATAAATAAGCAGAACCAACGAATTACTTCCTCGATTTGAAGATGCATTCTAAATTGCACAACATGGTTCTTATCAAAAAACAAATTGCACGACATGGACACTCAATAGAATAGAAACATGCTAAAACGTGATTGTCCAAACAAATTTATCTTACAAGCATGCGAAGGTCATATCGAAATATGGACATATTTTTACATGCGTGTGTATGGACATTGCAACATACTGACAGTCTTTTAAATATTCAGTTTTATGAAATTTWCTGAACTTTTTGAAACTATGGAGAGACATCAACATGACAAATTTAGTGACAACGCAAATTACATATTTCTACAATGCAATGATTTATAACAAAGATTAATAAAGAATGCTAATCTTTAATTTATGTCAATAAAAAAATAATTAGCATTCTTATCTAATACCTTGAAACAATTGTTTCAATTTGTTAAAAAAAAATACATTTTGAATTATTTCATTATTCAATACTAATGCTATTACTAGGTCTCTTTTCCAAAATCTCAAGCCATATCAGAGAGAAGGTTAAAAATTCAACAGTCATCTGGATTTTCTTGTTCTCCGCACACCACAGAAAAGAACAAATCATACATCATGAATCAAAAATTTTCCTACATAGTAGCACRATGGCATCATCTTTTCTTCTCAGAGATTTTCCTCCAAACGCTAACAAGAGCTGACAAAAATTTATGTCATTCACGTTAGACTAGGGAGATATGAAGTCCTGACACTGGTTCGTAAAAGAGAGATGGCAGCAAATAAAAAATGTAAATTCAATATCTCTAGTTAATATGAGTTTAGGGAAGAGAGAGGAAAAAAATAAAAATAAAAATAAAAACAAAAAGATTAAACATGCAGAGTTGTTCAATAGTCGTCCTCATCTCAACTGAAAACCGTTGGCGAGGATAGACCTACAAAACCTAATATCGGAGTACAATAAGTTCGAATCAGTTGGAAACTTATTAACTGAATGACCTTACCTTTTTGTCCTCTGAAATGGGCAAGAAGGGCTGCTTCTTGGCAGTAGCAGCCGTTGGGGATATGGTGCTAAAGTGACGCCGCTTTCTATCTGAATCGACTGTGCTCCCCATTCCCCTTCTACAGGCCACAACAGCCAGCCACTAGGTMCACTCACATAACACCTCTCCAGAGATTGATTAAGCGCCGGAAACCCTAATTCAGAGGATCAGGCCTCTATAACATTATTAACTGYTACTACTCCAATCCAAAGCCCTCCCCAAGACAGTATATTCCTCCAGAAAATCCTAAAGCTAAAAACGTATTTACACAGGACCTCGCAGCCAAAGCTCCGCTTGTATGGCGTCTTAAACCCAAAAAAAACAATAATAATAATGATTGATTCAGCCCCTCAAACCCTAATTAAGGCGAAAACCTCTAAAGCGGACGAATTTCTCAAAACCTCAGCTCGAAGAACCGCTGGATTCCTCGGGCATAACCTGATTTTGATGCGCCCTCGCTCCCACTATGTTCTGTGCGTTCGTTCTCAGGAGGGGGAAATGCCGACTCGTGTGGGTCTACTGCTTTGGCAGTGCCAAAATTTCGATGGCGTCGAAATTCTTTGAAAGATATGGGGGCACTTCGGGAAAGTGGAAATTCTATCTGCAACTGCAAATCACGAATCGGAAGTTTTCTTCAGTATTCTCTTATATTTTATCAATACTTTAAATAATTTGTGTTGCTTTCAAATTTATAGTAATTATGCCCCTCACCTTCTTTTTTATATATATTTAACGATTAACATTTTGTTTCATGGTTAAGAACTTCAAACATTGTCTCGGCAAAAAAAAATAAAAAAATAAAATATTCAAACATTGTTAGTTACAACTTACAACTTGATTCGTTCTTAAATTAAGATTCCATATAATTACAATCTTTTTTAAGTTTAGACTGTCATTTACCTTTGTGAATATATTTTAGACTCCTGCAATGCACAAAATTAGTTTCTGAAAAGGGAATATGATAATAAAAGATGGCTATGGTTTTTAAAACTTGGACTACAAAACAAATAAAATTACATTTAATTCTTTATTTAATATTAATTATAGTAATTGTGTCTACTTAATCCTGTAATTTTAAGATTTTTAACTCATAAATCAATAATATAAAATAAAGGCATGTAGGCCTAAAAAAATTATTAAATGGTAGAAAAATTAACTAAACATCTACCTCACCAATGTGCATTAATTGAGCAGTATGTCTGACAAAAAAGTCATGAGTTCAAATAAAAAAAATTTGTATGTCGGCTTAAGTATGACTAATAAAATGATCTATTGCTTTTCAAGCATCGCCTATCTTTCCTATCCAACTTGCTGTCTCCAGAGATTCATCGCTGCTTTAATACAACTACAGCCTAAGAATCGAGACCGATCAGGAGTAGTGATCTTACTATCCACATTATATACACAACGTAACAAATTGCATTTAGACCTACCCTTGTACTTGAGAAGATGAAAAATGAAAGAAAACAGAGCCCAACGTCGATGCTATTACTCATCTTTCTTCGTCAATTGGTGTCTTTTCTTTTGCCCAACTTCTACAAGCAATGTCAAAAGTGCCTCACACACCTGAGATGCATCTGCTTCCGACGTGTCGTTGTTGAGAGACGAATAAACCATCCAGGCATGGTCTAGCTTACGTTKCGGACGCACCACCACGGATCCGGGGACTTCAGCATCACGGCAAGTTACCAGTCCATCGCTCTTCTCACCATAACGGGTCTGCAGCAGCTGGGCGCAGGCTGCCATTGCCGCTCCCAGGGGAATAACTACAGGGAGTTTTGCAGCTTGAGCAGTAGAGAGCGGGGCTGGTAGTTCTGCATGAGCCACATGGGACAAGGTGGCTAAAACAGCCGGTGAAATGCCAGCTTCGGTATTACAGGAAACCACGGGGAGTTCTTCTGGCAAGTGGTGCTGCATTAGAAATTTCTTCCTCTTCTCATATGTTAAATCTTCCAGAGCTTGCATGTCTCCCTACGTAAAAGCCAACAAATAAGCACAAGTACGTATTTGGAATCTAGACTATTCCGACTATCCTAAACCTTTTAAAAAGTATAGGGACGAGGATCACTGCTACTTTCCATTTATGTAAGAATTTACATGTCTAAAACAACCAACTTCAACCACCACCTCAAGTGAAAATTACTAAAAAGTATATTTTTCCAATTCTACCCAAAGACAAATCGTTCTAAAAATACTGATAAAAGAGGGCTCTACCCTCTACTGCTGTTTGAAATTTCATTGTAACTAACAGTCATGCTAGCAAACAAGAATGAGAAGCTACTGCAGCAGAACGAGAAATAAATATGACTATATATATGAAACCCATGACATAAAAACAAAAAGACAACGAGAATATGCATGTATCAGAGAGGGAATTTTAAGCCATAGGTGAGAGTTAAAGCCAACGTGAAAACCAGTCATCCAATAAGTCCTAAGAGTTAATAATACATATCTCTAGATATTTTTCATTTTTTATGTCCCTTCTAAAAATGACCAGATGGAGCCAWCTCAACCACTTGCCTCCATCAAGATAGATAACTATAATTGCGTTGTTCTCTCTTTCCATATTTTAGCAATGACTTCTATACCTTTCTCGCAATCASGTGGTCTTATTCTGGAACGTAACTAACATAATCACTTCAGGAAATTATAAAATCAATACTGAATAATTCTGCCAGCTAGACTTTATAAAACATGCTCACAATAGTACAATGACAATAAGATTTTCAGCCGGAACAATTGTTCCTTCCATTATCTATGATAAAGTTGGGAACAAAACAAGTCAATARAGAACATTGACAAGCCCAGCTTTGGGGGATTAAGCAACCTTTACAACATACTCCCTAAAGAGATTTGGGAGACACTTGTTCCACACTCATATTCCATCTATATCTCCAAACATGTAACCTGTTTGGCCTTTTGGCTCTCTCTCTTTTTTAAATATCAACATCTGTAAGGAAAGCTGTAACTTTAATTTGCAATATGTTTAGCAATTTTGCCTATAAAGAATGAGCCCCTATTTGCAAGTTTCAATAAAATAATCTTGGAAAAMCAAGCATATTATGGGTACCTTGATCACTTTACAAATCAAAATCTCCATAAGTTTCCGTACGTTCACATAGTCACCAAGTTGTCCTTCACGCAAGATATCAGATGCTATTGGACTACCACCATATGGACTTTGAGCTAATGCCAAGCCAGCAACTTTATCTCTCAAATCAGACCAATACAACGATAAGGCAGCTGCAGCATCTACTCCCCCTTTGCTGTGCCCAAGAAGTAATACACGTTTTCCAGAACCCCAGTATATTTCTTCAACATACTCTTTTATCTCTCTTGCATTTTTTTCCACTGAAGCCTGATTATATATTTTTAATTGTTTAGCAAGATGGGAAGAGAACATATATAAATGTTAGTACTTAGAAATAAGCAAAAATACCTCACTATGAATCTTGGCAATATGACAGGTAAGACCCATCTTTGAGAATCTCATTTTAGTATCAACAAAATACAGTGGTCCATGGTTGCTGAAAAGACCTGCCAATTACATGAATTACAGTCGCCCATCTGGGTAAATATGTTTCCAAGTAAGCAACAAAAGTGCCTAATGCAAAATAAATGTTCAAAAAAATGTTCCCTCGCTGCATATTAAAATTCATTTACAACAAAGAAAACCAGGATTTAAAACTATATCTGCATGTCCAATCGCAGTTCTATTTTGACACTTCCATGATTAAGAATTGTTCCAGAACCTCATCTTTTCGAAGACTCGACCTGCTCGCTTTTAATTCAAAATTAGAAACAATTCAATGTTTTTGGAAAAAAACTAAGATTTAGTCGCCTTGACTTGATAAAAAGAAAATCTGGAAAATAGTTCCTCTTAATATTAACATGACTCTTTGTCTACAATACTGTCCTTGGGTACTTGAACAAAATCAAAGTTCATAACAGGTTTATCACCTGCATGTATTCATTAACATAAGATTGTACCTTAGCTTGGCCAAATGACTGACAGATGCCCAATTCACATGCTACTTTCAAATATTAACCAGCAAAAGGCAAGCAACAAATTACCTGGGACCAGCAAGTAAACCATTGAATTAGGCAACTTGTGAATACCATGCCTGACAGAAACAAAAGTGAGGCCACAATTTAAATTTCTGCCACATAACTCGTAAAAAGCAGCAAAGCAGCTTAAAAGTATGCCACATAACTCGTCTCACTCAGAGTACCTGATGTCCCCCAAAATTTCCATGAACCTATCAGTTCCTTCTTCAACCGGAGGCATTCCAGGTGCACTTTGAAGCCATCCTATATCATCTGCTGACCCACGTACTGTCCTCAAAGCCCGATCAATAAGGCTGAATGAGATTGAACATTAAAAATGAAACAAACAAAACAGTACAAGTAAGCTATAACTATATCTAGCGAACTAAATAAAAATAACCCGCACTTAAAATTCCCATTTGATACATATCTTTCAGTTCAATACAGAAACGATACCCTTGAAACATTGACATGCCATTCCGACCRGTATTATTTGACACTATGAGACCACCACCAGGGCCCGATGACTCTTCAACAGCAATCCTTGAAACTTCAGTTTGTACAACAGGAGCAGCAGTGGCAGCTTCAGGTGATTCAGAAATTACTGATTGTGTAGCACTAGATTTCTGATGACCACCAGTTGTGGCTGGTAAATCTACAGATGCTCTGGAAATTAACGGCACCAATTCCCGTTCATGTAAAGCATAATTCCTAGGTGCTCCAGATTCAGGGTCAACTGAGATCAAATCACCAAAAAAACTGTCACCTAAATTAGTAATGTGCAACAATAGCAAATAATTACAAAAATAAATCAATTCTAAGTAGAGAGAATGAATGAAAGTGTACAGCAGAGGTTAATAAAAATGAAAGACATTAAATCATTGGAGATCTCCAGAATCAGGCTTAGTTAAATTGAAAACATCACAGTAATTGTTATTATATAAGTAATGTACACATGAAATTATAAAAATAACCATGGAAGTAAAACAGAGAGAGAGAGAGAGAGAGAGAGAGAGGAGAGAGAGAGAGAGAGAGGATGAACCAGGAAATAGATAATTGTTTTTCAAAAAAAAGAAATTTACATATGCACGAGCAGGTTCTAGAAGGTTTCCGATAATCCAATAGATAAAATTTGAAAAGGTTATAAAAGTTCCAAACCAAATGAATAATTTGTTGTATAAGACACGTGCTCAAGCAGGTAAACTGAAGAGCGATGTAGAACAACAAAGGTCATTAAAGAGATGACAATAAGAGAAACTCAAAATAAAAGGAAAGAGAAATACCAGAAGAATCGGAGAAACAGCTAGTGAGGTATGAAGTTGTCTGCGCCACGTAAGTCGCAGCCTCATTGAGAGCTGGTACAGAGGTAAATAGCTGAGGAATAAGACCCTCAGCCTCAATCAAACCATTGTTCTGTGTCTGAGAAAAAGGGTCAGAGGCTATATAAAAATAGAACGCATGAGCAACAACTATCTTGACCCAAAAGAAAACTAATAGATAATGGATATTGACCACATCATAGAACCAAATAGAGCAGTAAGTTTCTTAACAGCAGATATTATACCAACCACCAAAAATTCAGCATCAGGTAACACAAGAAGGACCATAACCATCAGCCAAAGAGGTTGTCACAAGGATAATTTTTTCACCATGTTTAAATACATACAACAGGTGCACGCACAAAACAAGCATTTCTTCTTCTACTTCCATTTTTGTTGTGCATTATTTTATGAGGGGTAAGAAAAACATATATCTTGTAGACCAGAATATTTCAGACTTGACGAAGGTGTAAACAAATAACAAAATTATTTGGCATTTCTATTAGACATCTTAAAGGGAATTATATATTATTTAAACCACTTGTGATGTTCCATAAATTTGATTCAAGTTCATTTAAAATCAATTCCTTGTGATGGTGAATTTGAGAAGGAATTTAGATGCTAGTAATATTTTACAGCTTGATTCCAAAAAACTAACTCATCCATTTAGACGTCCCAATACACTTTGCTTTTCCCTCCATAACTTTCTTCATCTTTTGCCCTACTTTAATTACCTCGTTCGTGCTCCCGTCTTTCCCGCTGCCATCTTCGGTGGATGACCCCCTATCTCTATGTTATTTTTCATGGGAAACCAACTTTCAAGTTTCATCAAATACGCCATGAAGTATATTATGTTTCCAAGATTCTGGTTTTTATGAACTTTTCTCTGCTTTAAGAGTCTTGTTTTATTGGCTTCCGAAATGGTTAAACGTAGTGAATAATATGACATAACGTACAGCATATTGTAGTTTTCCATGATGATCGTTACTATATATATTGAACTTAACACGTTGTTTCATTCATTATCACAAAATTTGTAAGGAATCTACTAGCAAATAGATGCACTTACAAGTTTAGAAGTTTCGTCGATTAGAAAATTCTAGTCTATGTGCAAGTGAGTGAAACATTTCATCCTATTGTTTGGTTCATCAATTCGAAGTATCGCACAATTGAGAACTTTTTTAATCAATTTAGAAACGCGATAATTGTAAATATTTTTAAATCTACCAATACCCAACTGCTCCAGATCAATTGATATTCTACGGAATAAATAAATACAATAAACTACTCCAAAATGTTCCCTATAAACTAAATGACATCGTATAAGCTGACGGTAACACCGAATTCATAAAATCTTTAACTTCCCATGGGAACTAAAACCATAAAAATGACGCGAATTGCAGCATGCAAGCAAACCAGGACAATTCAAACAGTGCATAACTTACCACAGATGGATTGCCTGATTCCCCTTGTCTCGTACTCCTGGTTTCCTTCATCCTTGAAAAGCGCGCGATCGTTAATTAACCGATTGATTTCGGCAGAAAAACCAAGACGATATAGAAATCCAAAGAAAACAGATTCAATTCCAATTCGTTGATACACGGATGGCAACGCAATGGAAACCCAAAACTGGGGAAGGATCGAGATTCAAGACTGCCGCGAAGCTATGATTTACGTGGGAGGGACCCTGTGGCCTCTGCTACTCAAAGATTTGGAGTTCGGAGAAATTATGTTATTTTATTGTCAGAAGTGAATGTTGTAAATTTTGTTTGAGCCGTTAATGGTACCGAAGACGTCTGTTCCCGTTCGTTGGCAAATTATACTATTTTTTTTTTTTATACAACGTATGTGCGTTGTCAAACAAATAATCAAATATGTCAATTACCGCTTAGAGTCGCTTTAACAATTATACTGTTTCTTCGTGTTAATGCATCCTCTGATTTCACATAGATTTCTTTTTTTTATAATGCACTTAAATAAATAATTGATTTATCTTTAAAAACAAAATAATAATAATTCCTTSAAGCATTTTTTTTGTTTGGTTAAATGGATCATTAATGGGATAATTGTGATATTATTTCTCTATTATTTACCGCATTGATTAGGGTGAAATTAAAGGACAAAATATGAGGTCAATCTAAACATAGATACYTATATTYAAGTAGAATATTGTGAATTCCARTTCTCATCCTAACATATTATATTAAAAATGTATTGATGTTAAAATTTTAATCCACGAGTAGTTAGAGGTTGGTTATGCTCAAACAAAGCTTATTGTCATAAATTTGTATAYTATGCTTTCTTCTGGCTATCCTYTCACTGTTCTTCTCTCTTCTCTCATGTCGATGTTCGTCCTCTTTTATCTCTAGTTGTTTTAATTTACGCTCTTACAAGGCTGAACTCTGTTATGTCAAAGACGAAGAGGAAGGGTCCATGTGCCAGAAGCAACTTGAATCCGATTATGGCCAGTGTAAAGTTCACTGATAGTCAATGRAATTATTTATGTAAGGTGAACTCGATACTAACCTGCATTGAATACTAATTTAAACTTYGAAAWRTACGTGATTAACATGCAAAAGGTGAAAGATTTTACTTTTATAAAGTTCAAATTTATAGACATTTTCAACCAATCTAATTAAACCATAACCAACTTTCACTATAGATCAAGTAGAAAACAAATAACCGAATTATCTTATAGGGTTTTTTTGTTGGTTTGTTATTTTTCCACCTCTATATGTTGCTTACTAGTCCTATTGGTACGACATTTTTTCTAATAGAGGAATCAACTGCGGATAGAATGTTTAATGGTTAACAATAACCATCCATTACAGTTACAAATAACGTTGCACTTATCTTCATTCACAATCCGACATAGTTTTCAAATTCAAAACGGAAGTTTTTGAATCTAAAGTTCAAGGCAGTTCCAGATATAACAGAAATAAGGAAGATATATTGTTCTCTATGGCAAGTTTGTAGATCATAAACCAAACGGCGGGGGCCCAAAGAGATCAGAGGCTACGAATGAGAATGCCTTCAAAAGTAATGCCTGGTCCAAATGCCAGAGCCAGTCCCCATTCTTCCCCATCCTCTCTCTTCAGATTCTCTCTCATATTCTCAATTACATAGAAGATGGTGTTGCTGCTAACATTTCCATAGTCCATCAATGCCTTTCTGCTGCATTCAAGTTTTCCACTTTTCAGCTTGAGAGTGCTCTCTAGTTTATTCAGAATTGCTGGGCCACCAGGATGGACTGCCCAAAACAAGTCATTAAAATCCACCAGATTTTCCTCTTTCATCAGCTTTCTGCAGAATTCTTCTATGTTGTCATCTATTCTCCGTGGAAGGTCTCTACCAAGTTTGAAATTTATACCCTCCTCAGAAAGCCTTCCATCAATTACATCGTGGGTGCCTGGCAAGAATTGCTGGATGGCATAGTTCAGCTCCATGAAAGGAGATTCTTGACCTGGTACGGGGTTCGCTCCAATGATCACAGCTGCAGCTCCATCACCAAAGAGTGCAGCCCCAACAAGGTCGTATGGGCGTGCATTGTTCGGGGGACGAAATCCAAGTATTGTAGTTTCAGAAGTAGTTAACAAAATGCGGCTTCCTGGATTGTTTTCTGCTATGTCTTTGGCAACCCTGAGTCCAGTGACACCACCATAACAACCTAGAAAATATAGCATCACCCGACCAACATCGTTCTTCAAACCAAGCCGACTAGCAATATAAAGATCCCCACCAGGTAAGCGGATTTCGCTAGAAGAAACATAGACAATGTGGGTGATATCTTCAACAGACCTCCCCCATTCTTGAATGCAGGCTTTGCTAGCTTCGGTGGCCATCTCAACAACTGCAGGGTTAGCAATTTCCAACCTCTGCCTGATGGTGGGTGAGCCCTCAGTTACGAGCTCAGGATACTTATCCAAGATCTCTTTACACATGACAGTGTATCTAGTCTTCACAGTAGTTGTTTTACCTGAGATGAAAATAAAGAGAGCTTAGCAAAATCTCAAAAGTAAAAGAGCTTCAATCTCTTAACAATGCTGAAATGATGTTTGAAAGTGAGTTCTAGAAGAAATCTTCAATATGTTAAAGGAAACACTATTTTTTGTTTACATAAGCGCTCCAATTTTTCCTTGATAGTTGCATCCTCGCATTTCGTGTCACGAATGTAGCCCTCGACCAAGCATTCTTGAGGAACGAGTTGACTAGGAAATGCCTTGCCCATTGCAAGAATCGTTGCCTTCCCAGGTGTTGGAACACGCCTTGCCTGTGCATGATTGGCCGAGCCCTCACAACTCATCTTAGACATTTTTGGGAGCTTAATCAAGATGTATTTAGTATTTGTCTGTAAAGACCCGAATGAAACTTATCACATGGTTCGAAGAATTTAAATGGGCCATCGGAATATCTACTTTTATTGGAGAGAAGTTGGTGATCATGAAGAAATGGTTCTTGAAAGGGTTCTTGAAA